AGTAACCTGGCATCATCGTTTTTCGCCTCTCCTTGGGTGTCCTGTGCAGAGCTCGTTGCCTTCACTGAGACATTGGGGGAAAATAAAGATTCGGCACTGGAAGATGAATCTTCCTCCTCCTCCCAATCGTCATGATCTGTCCTCTTCTGAGTTTTCTTGACGAGCAGAGGAAATTCGATCTTCTCGCCGTCTTGGTAAGTAAACTGGGGAACTCCGGGAATGACAAAGTCTTCTTGAGGTTCTGTCTCCTACAATAACAACCAAAAATAAAAACATCATACAAAACATTCTACAAAATGGAAGGTTAGTCATCCATAAAAGCTAGAATTTTACTCGGTTTCTACAGAATGAACCGACAGGGCGCTTACTTGTAACGATAAAAAATATCAATAATTTCTTTTAATTTCTGGAGGGTCAAGAGGGTTTCTTACTCATATCGAACTAAAACGGGAATAAATTTTTTCCATACGGTTTAAGACTTACAATTATTCGCCAATTTTGCAGTTCCCATTTTAAAAGATTTTGAGGTGTCACATCAATGCAGTGAATGAAGCACATAAAATTCGCAGCTTTACTTGAAGCACTTGAGATGTTAAAAGCTTGACTCTATTCTGTGGAAAGCGTGGAACGTTTCTTTTATTTTCTATCAATCAAGTTTCAACGAGTGTTACTAATGGGAACTTTTGGTGCAATGTACTTGCAGTCAGTTCGGCTGTGCTGTAAGTTTTTAATCTTTTTCGAATGTTGACGAATGAAACAATTGGAAACCAAATAATTCTTATTGCTAAGAGCTACTCTTTAATAGTTGTATTCGTTTTCTCCTTTCATCCGCGCTAAGTGAGAACGTAGCAATATCCGGATAAGTTTAGTGAAGATTATACAGCCTGTCTTTTGTGGCAATTTAAAAGGAGACGTTTTCAAATTAAATAGCATTAATCGGAAGTAACACCGCTACAAATAACAATCTCTTAAAAGTTAGCATTGGGCGACCATTTACCAAATCGTTTAATTGTTTTTGTGACAACAAAAGGAAACCCCCATTTCCCGTAACTCGTCAGTTCGGCTGTGCTGTAACTTTTCAATCTTTCTAGAATGTTGACAGTCAGACGAATGCAACAATTGGAAACCAAATAATTCGTATTGCTAAGAGCTACTCTATAGAAGTAATATTCGTTTTCTCCTTTGATCCGCGCTAAGTGAGAACGTAGCAATATCCGGATAAGTTTAGCGAAGATTATACAGCCTCCCTTTTGTGGCAATTTAAAAGGATATGTTTTCAAATTAAATGGCATAAATCGGAAGTAACGCCGCTACAAATAACAGTCTCTTAAGAGTTAGGCGCATTTGGTGACCATTTATCGAATTGATTAATTGTTTTTATGACAACAAAAGGAAACCCCTATTTCCCGTAACTCGCCTTTAGTAAACAACCAGAGGTTAAAAGCCTACCCATATTTAGTCGTAATTCAACCAGCTCGTTTTTTTTAATCCGCATCAATATTTTCCAAAACTTCAAAATGAAGGACACATCGACAGCTAATGCGACTCTACAGAGCTCGTCTGGTTTAACAGAGGTTTTACCTTGCAAGATGGAGGGAATAGCATGGTACAGTGCTTTTACTGTCATGTCGGTTTTGATAATCATAGGAAATTTATTCACGATCGTAACCTTTGCATTCAAAAAGAAGCTTCGCAGGAAAAGCTTACTTCTGGTCGTGAATATGGCGTTTGCAGATCTTATTTTAGGAGCTGTCTCCGTACCTATTTATATGCACATCATTGCAGTCCACTATCAGCTATGGCACGAATCCTGGATTATTAATGAGCCACTGAAAATTTTCGTCGATTTTACTTTCATGCAAGGGTCCTTAATCTCAACAACTCTCATTGCGTGCGAAAGATTTTCCGCCACATACCAACCGCTGAAGCACCGAATTCTACCAAGACGTGTTTACTACATTGCTATGTTCGCAGCGTGGTCCCTTGCTATTTTGGCATCGGGATGTTTCGTCGTAACACGAACCTTCTTTTCAGCAAAATATGCCATCATTGTTTGGAACATCTACGCACTAGTTTTGAAGTTCATAGTATGCGCCTGTAACATCGGAGTTAGGAGGAAGCTCCTAAACAAAAGTGTGGTCTCTAGACAGACGAATAGAACACTTCAAAACCAACGCTTGACAAAGACCTTGCTGTATGCATCGATTATCGCTATGGTTTGCTGTTTCCCTTTAAGTACGACAACCTTTGTAAACATCGTGTATCAGGTTGCAGTACCAATGAGAACTGATTGCATAGCAAACTTTGTAAATTATTCTAACTGTTTTTTGAATCCTCTTGTCTATGCAGTTAGAATTCCCGAATTTAGAGAAGCGCTAGGTCTGTGTTTTACAAGACAAAAATTGACCAAGGGCAAAGCAGATTTAAACAAGGGGAAAATTACGCCTGTTGTTTTGAAGCAAGTAACAGAAAAACGGAAAAACAAACAAAACGACTGTGGAAATCAACAGGTGTGCTTTGAAGAGCAAATTTTGGATACAAAACTGTGAATCAATGAGGGAAAAAGAGGAATATTCAAATTGAATGAATGATCTGTGTTGACATGTTGAGGCCTAGTTCCCATGAGTTGCAATTAATATTCAGAGAAAAAGAAGCTGATTCAAAAATGCTGTTTGTGAAAGCATCGCTGTATATCTGCAGCTGAAGGAACTAGTTAAAGAAAAGTAGTAATGTCACTACTCTATACAAAGCGCACGGCCGCAACTTAACTCAAACATAATTTCCTCCAGAATAGTGCAGGTGTAACATGTTATTCGATGAAAAAGCATCAAAAGCAGGTTTATAGGCGGTCTACCGCCGCCTGAAAGACCTCTAGTCACGACCTTCTGTTTAGCCTGTGAGCAAGCACTCGAGTTTAGTGTTCGCCTTACGGCACGGCCATCTGGTACACTATCAGAAGACGCTCGTGGAAAAAGTTACTGAAAATCCGGTAAAAGTTACGACGGAACTGATACTGGAGCAGCCTGCTTTTCGAAAGTGCGTCTTACAAGTGAACCAACCACAGCCAACCCAATTGAAAGAGAATATCGCTGGGAGCCAAGAACTATTGAACTCCAATGAAAGGAGCGGACTGACTAAAGTGAAAGAAAAGATGAGGGACCAGCATGTAATTAGTGTTGGGTTTGTATCTAAGCGGTCGAGAAAAAAGTTCGATTTTTTTTTCTTTTTCTTTTTGCTTTGTTTTTTGTTTTGTGATTTTTTTTATTGCACAGGGCCTACGTGGGGCCAAACCAAACAAGTCTCGGATTTCTTTCCAAATGGAATCGAAAACCGCTTTAACGAACGAAACGGAAACGAGGACCTTTACCTATATGGGCCAATGGTACCAGACTATGAGGAATAATTTCAATTCACCACCGCCCAAGATCAACTGCTTTCATAGCTGACTGCGAACCTCGATCGGAGAGAAAATGCAAACTTCGTTTCTAAGAGTTTTGCACCTCCATTTGATTTGTTGACGGATGTTGTAGGAGTCACTTTTTACTGCTTTACATTGAAGAGACTGATATTTAATTGAAAAAAGTTCAAACCCATCAACCACACCTTTAAGTTGTTTGTGATGCTAAACAGTCGCTGTTCAGCTGGAATCATAAGAGGTGAATTCCAGTTCAAACATTCCAATTGTCCCAGATGCTGTGAGTATTTGTAAACCAGACTTGGAGATGTGATAACAAAATGAGACGGAGAAAGCATCTCGTCGTCGAACTTCATGAGGTCATCTGGTTCCTCTACAGCAGATACAAACGACTCGAGAGAATTTACCCTTGAACTAGCAGGCCTGACAGGAAGAAAAACAAAACGAAACAAAACAAAAACAATTTTATGACCAACTCGAATCACAGTCGTAGTATGGTTGGTTATTTTTCAAAGGTTGGAAAATTATGTTGTTAGACAGATATTTCGTTCCTTTTTTCGCTCTTTTCGTATCAAATCAGCTGGTCCAAGCTTCTTGTCATAGAACCAATTCTATTTGATTTGCGTTGGAATAACATTGGCTCTTGACCACACTTACTGAATTATCAAATTTCACAATTTCCTTTTTGAATACAACTGTTTTCAAGATTATTTACATTGAAAAAATTTTTATAGGTGAAATATTTTGACAGATTTGATAGATGTAAATTCGCCTCCAAGACTGCCAAAAAACAAATTGCAGAAACACAGACTGCATAATGATCTGCACGTAAACTCAGCTCGCTCAAAAGCAATTTCAACTTCCCACACAAACGAGCCCTTTTCCTTAAACGTAAATTATCTTTCAGCAAGAGAAATTCTCTCGTGTCAAAAATATATGCTTTACATGAATTAGAAACAATGATATGAAGATATCAACCTTCCTTACCTCATATCAATTTCATCCAACAGGCTACCACAGGAATAAAACGAAGCCTCGCTTCCACGAGAGAAGTGAGACTCAGTCCTCTGCAGTGCGCCATGGGGTGATTTGGAGGTAGATTGGTTCCTACTCTGCCCCAAGCTCTGCTTTGACCCTTGGAGACTCGTGCTCCTGATGCGGCGCATTTTTTCATGCATGTTGGAAATATTGGACTCCTCGCGCTGAATCGATTCACACCAGCTAAGACGAGAGGGCATGGGGCTAATATCGTCATCTATTTTAAAGAAACAAAAAAAATTGTGATAATAATATACGAAAAAAATTTATATTATTATACATTCGCGGAATATTCTTTATTTTTAGGATCGTAGAGTATCGCTTGGCCCGTGGAGTTGCAGAAACTTTCGAGAAACGCCCTGGGGCAAACCAATTTCCGGCCGAAATTCGTAAATACTGTACATAGCTTTTGGAAGAATCTACTTATAAAAACGAAATTGTTGGCTTTAAATATTGATAAGCGTATCACTGACTTCAAGGAAAACATATTTTTACGTAAAAACACTTTTCACTAACCTATCCCGAGTTCCTCGTAGGCTTCCTCATTTGAGGGCGCGTGGATAACCCTTCTTGCTTTTGGAGAGCTTCCCTCTGACCCAGAAATATGGTATCGCCGGCGCGTAAATGCTTCTATCGAGCCAACGGGCGACCGATCAAAATAATTAGAGTCCAGGGCATCTAGGTCGGCACTCCGAGAATACATAAGAGGCCTGGCACCACTGTCCACGATGTCGCCGTCGTCATAGAAACCTGTCTCACTGCCAAATCCGCCAATTCCGATGTCGTTTTCGCTGGCGTCTAATTTATCAGCCGTGAAGAATCGTGGACCATTGACATTTTTGCCGAAAAAGTTGCAACCGCCGGTACAACCACAACAACCCCGTCTTCTACCAGGCAACTGCTCCTGAGGTTGCCAAAGAAACCACAGCCGCTGGAAACTTGCATCATGCATCTCCAGGAAATCCTTTTGCTCCTGGTATAGTTCCGGGTGAGACGTTGCGCTCGATATATCAGAAACGATTGGTCCAAGTTGTGCAGCAGCCGCCTGAAGCCAGGATGAATTTTCTACCAAGGACAATGGCCGCCGCACGTCGCCGAGAATTTCTTGCGTCCTCTCTGGCCACGGAGTACAAACAAACTGGCGGAGTTTAACCGTTTGAACGAACAAACTTACACCCGAGCTGGACTCTGAACTATGAAGACTGCATGTGGCGAGTCTGACAGGAAAAACCTGCAAGAGGACAAAAAGAAACTGTAACTACCAAGTTACCAATCTTCTGAATACAAAAAGCTAATGATCTATGGGATAAAAGCCCTTTCATCCTTAAGATTATAATGTCAACTTTCCCTTCTGGAATATCGACGATCTAAGCAATCTTCATTTCAAGAATTGGCAGCAACTCAGAACAAATTCTCAAAGACAGCAAACTTTCTCTCTTGTCAAGGACTCCCAAAAATCAATCCCCAATCCCTATTTCCTTCCCAGCTGTTGCACACTTGTAAATTGGTTGCGAGTGTAAGTTTGTCTGCTCTCAAAATCAGTTTGCTGAAAAACGAACTGATAAGACTAATTTTCAATTGAGGGTCCAACGTAATTCGGGATTTCTTTGATTTTGCTTTACTTCGCTTCTTATTGTTCCAAAAGACTCGCACCAATTTCCCCACCAATAAGAATCAAAACAAACTTATCGCAACTTGGACACTCGCGTTTTCCTGCGTCTTAGGCGGTTCACTGGTTAATTTCTTTGAGTTCTCGTTTGTTCCTCGTTTTATTTTCCGTTGTTCTGATTGGCTGTTGTGATTATTTTGGTTTTTGCATCACAGACTCTCAGTCGAAAACACTATTTTGTAAAGAGAGGTATCGGGCTTGTCACGTCTCGATTTTCAAGAGTAAATGAAAATAGTGTCAGCCCGGATTGTTTTCATCTTTAGAAGCAGTATATTGTCGAATGATCGTAATCAAGCCTTGCACCCATAAGCTACACTGTGATAAGGCAACAAATTTTTACTTAAGGTAAAATCGAGAATCGCCATACCTCCAGATTACACGCAGACCCAGTCTCAACAAGGAACAAATTAATGTTCCCCACAGAGACCCTTGTCATTTGATACTTCACGTCACTTTCAGGGATACACAGCTGAGGGGAGCTCTTTGATCTTTTGAAGGTTCCTTTTGGCAAGGACCCCTCGTTGGTCTCTAGACTATGGTCCACGTCTCTAGGCACCTTTCGCTTCTTGTGCCTTCTCTCGCAAACATGTTGTTGTTTACCGTGAATGCATTGGACATACGGGGTACTAGGTCCCAGGTCGTTCTCTTTGTTGATGACGTGAAAGGCAAACGTTTGTACCCAGTTCGCCATGGCTTGGAGCTTTAAAAAAAAAAAAATTCTTCAATCAATAAAAAAGCATTTGTTATCAAAGGAAACACTCGGCTTCAAGCGCAATTCAAATAATGGCAAAATGATTTTTGAAAAAATCCACTCAAGAAAGAATCGGTTTTGAAGACGATTCTTATGATATTATGATACCTGTGGCATGGTGAGCCTTCCAGACAGTATGCCCAGCTGTATCTCTACAAGCCATGCGTACTCCAAAGTCTCACAGTCAGGTGGTCTATCCAGATTAGAGAACATAGCGTGACCACGGAGTTGGAGTCCAGACAAACTCAGATGACCCTGGGACAGATTGTGGTTCACACTACCGCGCTGTTAAATCATAACAAGAAAATACTCAATGATTTTTTCTAAAAGAAATGATCCAGAAACCACGATGTTTTGCAGTATATGCCTAAAGTAGCCTTCTGATGGTCGAGTAGAGAGCAATTATCAATCTTGTGTCAAAATTAAACCAGGATTGCTTGGGTTTCGCCTTACTTCGTTGTGATTGGTCCAGAAGACTCGCGCTGCATTCTTAACCAATCAGAAGTAACAATACCACCTTGACAATACCAAATAAACTGAAGTACTGATAGCATAGCTAAACTTGGCTGTCTTACTTCATTGCCGTCAACAAGAATGATTGTGGCAGGACTCAGATGCAACTGTAACCGAGTCTCTGTGTACGTCTTGTGCATCTCAAACGACAGTCTCTCCATCAGCAAAAGCGGACTTGATGGCTCGCCGGGACCACAATGCTGCAAATTAACACATAGTAAATGCATTAAATAAAGCCGCATTTACGTAGGCAAAAAATTTCTCTGCCGAGAAAAACTATTCCCTTTACTATTACTAATGTCTTGGCCACACAAGCTGGTTTTTGCCACACAAGCTAGCGAATGCATCTTGACAAAGTTCTAAACCAAGACTTCTTGTTACAAAAAGGCGCTTCATTTTTCGGAAAAAAATGTCTTAAGGATGTTTCTCAACCAAAAAGGGTTTCAATTGTTCGATTCGTGCAAAAAAAGTTCCACAAATGTACTTTGTACCTTGTCACTACAGGCCTAACCTTAGTTAATTCCGCCTTGACATCAGAAAGTGTCAGGATGATGTTAGCTTCCATCGGCCTCAAGGTTAGTAAGTTAATTGTGTCCTTGCTGCCTGAGCCCAGTGTAGTGTCGCTCACTGATTCTTCTCGATTGTACTTGATGCCGAGCTCTTTAAATTCTTGGTTAATGCCAAAGTAGTTCTCCTGTGTTAAGAAAAAGGGAAAAAAAACAGTGAGATGACTGATATGATAAAGACATTGTGATTATTACAGGATAGGAATAGCGCTTGCTAGAGTTTTCTGTTAGAGTAACCCCACATCACAGGAGAAACAGACTAAATAATATGGACTAGCGCTCCTTCCTGATCCAGGGAGGGAAGGGTGAGGCAAAAGCAGTTTCAGGATACGGAAACTGCTGCATTGCTTATATCTGTATGGTTGGAACACACTCAGAGACAAGCCACAACGACAGATCTCTGAGATAAAGCGCTATGCGTGTAAACTCCTTCTTTTTCCCTGCGAGCCGCTGCGATCATACGCACGAATACGACTCGAAATATTTTTGGAAGAAGCGCTGTCGAAAGTAAAAAATATCTGCGCAACCATTCCACATATCCGTTGAAGAAAGTTGTCTCTTGGACCTTTCCCTGCCTTTCCTGCCACTTAGCGGGTCGCAAACCTCATGTTTCGAGCAAAAAAGTGTACCATCTTACCTTAATGGCTGCGAGCATAGCCAACAATGAGCCAAACACCTTGAGTGCGGCTGGTCCAGCTTCCAGTTCCAGGCTGATGACGTCAGGTTCCCACTGTGTGGGGTCACAAGGAAGTTCCTCCCCGCGAGGTACCTCAAACTTGGGGCTCGGATACATAGGATGATACATGTACCCCAAGGACAGCCCCAGGATGGGAACGGACATCACATCCACCCACCCTGTAACAAAGGAGAATATAAAAAAAAAGGAACCTTCATGGTATTGGCTTCCCCTAGCTAAGTCTCCGTAGTTGACATCACTTCCATTGCTTTCGCTTTTAAATCATTCTTCCATTACGTGACGTAATCGCTATAGTCAATCGGAAAAAGAAAACTCAAATGGAACTATTCGTTTACTTTATCCAAAGATTCAGTACTAAGGCAAAGACGGTACAATTCCAATCAACTTTGGACACTCAACTGAAACTGTCTCATCAACAGTCAAATGAAAAACGCTTTGCAGCAAAGAGTAATGAATAGCTTGCGAGCACGCCTTCGTTATTAGCGCTTCAACAATGAGCGTTTCTTCGCCGGCGGGAAATTACGAGTCTTTGAGCAACACGAGCTGGCCAGAGGTCTACATTGATAGTGCCAGACCCCTGACAAACCTCTCCCTGAGTCGTCTCTAATCTTCCCGCGGGCGGAGAAACGTACTTCCAGTAGCGTTAATAATAATAAGGACCTGCACGCAGGTTAAGCAATGAATGATCTAACTAATCTAACCAAGACTTTCGTCGGTGTGCCGCCTCCATCCTCCACTGATGGTCTCCTCAGTTGTGCTTGTGATAGGTTGTTCATCGGCACTCTCAACCGCCTCATCTATGTTACCCGTGGTAGTTGATGAGCGCGATCTAAGACCCTGTTCCCGTTTCTTCTCCGAGGTACGAGCCAGCGATAACAGGCTGCGTCTGAGAGTGTTTGACTCCGGGACAAACATTCTGGCAACCAGCTTCTCGGCCTGAAAGACCAAAACATAACAAAAAATTGAAGGCAAGAAGTAACTCAGGTTTGAATGTCACAAATAAAGAAAGATGCCAGTTAGTATCACGAACGCGCAGCCAAAAATTAAAATTCGAGTTCCCCATAAAGAATGGCACTGGCTCTGACTTTCCGATATCATAGTTTAATGCCCGACCCATTTTACTACAAATAACATGTTGGCAAGCAAACAGTCGTGAAATCTGTTTAAGAGCGTACTTGAAGGTGAGAACTGACTTGATAACTGATTAAAGAAATTAATTCAAGATTAGGGGTCTTTTTTTTCAGTTCTTTTTTTTTTTTTTTTGGCGACGCTAAAAACAACCTTCAACGTCAAGGAGACATTAAGATAAAAAAAAAACATGAACCTCCATCGTAAAAGAGAAAGAAAGAAAGAAAGGAAGGATGGATGGTTGGGTGGGGAAGGAAAAAATAGGTTCGCAAAGCATACATATGTCTACGGAACATTTAAATATCCCACCCACATCAATAGAAGCGTTCGTCACCTCAGTAAAATCCACCTCAAAAAAAGGGGGCTAAAAAGACGTCAATAACAATAAAAATTACTTGAACGAGATTTCTTGAGGTAGAATCCAAATAGATCCCTAAGAGAGGACATGTTGCCGACAGAGTAAATAGGAACGGCTACACGATGCAAGGGCAAGCACAGTAAATACATAACCGCATTGAAAATGATAAAATTAATAAATTTTTTACCCTACCTGTAGGAAGAACTTGATCTCTTCTATTTCCGGTATAAAGCGGAAGTATTGGAGGACAAATGTTAAGTCGAACACCTCACCACAGAAAGCCAGCTCAGCTAAAAACAAAACAAAATAACTCACAACACCATTGAATGATCTGAAAAGAGTCGCTTTTTGCAAAAATGATGAACAGATATTCTCAAAATTTCCTTTAAGGGAACAACGCCCATGAAACAAAACTACAAAATGCTCATGTACTTTCATTGCGCTTTATAAAGTAAAATGCCTGTACGAAAAAGAAAAAAATACCATTGAACTCTCACAGCGCAAGAAACGTTTGCTGTTTGTAAAATCTCTTAAAACAGAATTCCCAAGTAAGAAACAAGCTTTAGTGTAATTTCAAGGGAGATGAAAGCGGATAGTTCCAAAGAAAACATCGGTGACGAAATAAAGATATTTGACGCACCATTTTCTTGTTTATTTGACGTGCATTCAATCCAATTGTGCTGATTTCCCAACCAAACCATCTCAAAGTCTCGCAGTATGATGTTAAATGACCACTCATAAGGCACAAAGGTCAGTAGATCCGGTTTGTAGTTCATTGTCCAGTCTTCGATCATCTCTGCGGAAACAACAGATGACGAATCTTGATTGTGTTGTAAAACCAAGACCATTGATAGTAAAAACGACCAAGCGAAACTTGGGTTTAAAGTGCAAAAAAAAAACGGGTGGGGAAGGAAGCCGAGCTTCATTGAAAAAAAAAACAACAACAACAACAATAATATGTCTTTACCCAAGCCAAGTGGCCCACCCAGCTAGTGCTTATCCCGGTTTACATTGCATGAAGCGAATGGCATGGGACACTAGTCCATCGCACGTTACCCCCTTGCATTTCATCTGGCTTCCCTAAAAATTCACTGGTACCCATTTATACTCCTGGATGGAGAGAGGCACTGGGGGATTTAAGTGTTTTGCACAAGAACACAACAAAATGACCCAATAAGGTCTCGAACCCGGGCCTCTCGACCCAGTGTCCAGCGTACTAACCACTGGGCCACCGCGTCTCTATAACAAAATAAATATATTGTTGTAATCCTCATAAAGAGGGCTCGAATTAAAGTTTGTTGCCCCACCTTGGAAGAAGAACTTGTGCGCAAAGATGAAACTCCACGTGACTTTCTGAAGGGTGATATCACATGACCAGTGCTGTGTTTGATTCCAAATGCGGGGGAAAGACATGTGGAAAGCCAGCTGAAAGGGAAATATATATTGTACTTAATTCGATGAACGAATAGAATTGCTGTGGCTTAAATGGAAAGCAAACAGTTACAAGTGCATTTCTCTTACATCCATCATGTCTGCATCAATGAGCTTCCTATAGGCCAGACTGGTCGTAGCTTCGACTTGGAATAACTTGGCCACGACTGAAGTAGTATAACCATACTCGTTCACAGTCCACGGCTGGTATACTCGAACATGTGACCCAGACCCCACGCACAGGTGAAGAGCCTTGGTGACCTGTTCAAAAAAAGCACACACCTCTTACTAACTGAGTTCGAGGTTCGTACAGTAAGTTACGGACCAATATCTTTTTTCCGCTCGGATTTATGAGCAAAACACGCGGGGCTTATACGCGGGGCTTACAGTAAAAGCCAAAAAACGAGGTTAGTAAGATATTTATTATATCTCGAGTCCAACAGAGGGGGAAGGGTCCAATTCAAAAAACTTTTAAATTTAGCGCGCGTACAATGAAAAACGGCCTGCTAAATTGACCAATCATAGATATATAATAAACACTGATAACAGAGTTATAACAAAACAACCGACAAGAAAAAATTGCGACATCAGATGTGCGCATGAAACGGGCAGTTGGGACGTGTAAGTAGGGTTCTCACTCGGCTCCATTTAACCTACCCCAACAATAAACAACACCCAAAGTCAGTGTAAACTCACCCTATTCTTGGAAAATAAAATATCAAGTGTAGAGTCACACTCAAAGTCAAATTTAACATCCAGTCCGGTGTGGACTCGCCTCTGGCCAGGGACTAGCGGTTTCGTGACTTGAATCTCTTGATAGTCAAAAGGGTAGAAGAACTTCTGCAATGCATCTCTGTAAAGCAAAAAATATTAATAAATCAAAAGTAGCCAAATTTAGCAATAGCACGTTCTCTATTACCAAGTAACTCTGGAATATTTTGATTTTCTGAAGAGACGAGGCTGTTGAGGCTAGAGAAGACCCCTTAGGATCACCAACAAGAACTAATTACAAACCGATCACAAGCGTTGTAAGGTTCGGACTGGAATCAAACCCTGGCCACAGCCGAGGGATGCAAGCGTTCTCCACATATAAAAACTCATGCGGCCTTTCAAGAAATCCAATTTCCTACCGTTGTCTATCAACCCAAGGGCCATAGCACAAGGTGGTGTTCTTGAGAAAGACAACATCGATTCCCCAGTGAGGATCGCTGTCTGGTAATTCTTCCTCATTTTCGGCTTTGACCTCGGGAACATAACCTGTGATGTAAAATAGCTTTTTTAACAGCAGTTTGCTAAGGCGTCGAGGTTAGTTCTTAGACGCCAAGAGGTTAGGGGTCAAACGTGCTAACCACCAGGTAGCCGCTTCCACAAAGGTGCTAAAAGCGTATTAAATACAACGTCCAGAAAGATTATAATTTTTATAAACAAAATCTCAACGGCGATGGTTATCATAAAATCTTAGCTTGATGGAGGCCTTGATTAAGAGGGCCCTCAGTGCAAGTCGTTGTTTACTTTGAAATTGTTAGCATGAGTACATATGAATATTGAGGAAAATTGATCAGATTGAGAAACGCATCGAGACGATGGAAATAACAAGGTTTCTACGGTTGCAGTTGGCATGAAGACTAGATCACAGCGGAAATTCCATGTGTTTCGTTGTGAAGTAGGTAGCCTTAACAACCACGAGTTTTGCGTGTAAAGTGAAGCGGAAGTTTCTCTGAAAAGTTTCCCGCGGATCTACGAGAGGAGCGAACTTTCTCTCGGAATTTCGAGACCCACGAAAGTTCTCAGTGAATCAATCCGCGAAATTTCGGATGAATCCAAACAATAGCTGGCTCGAAAATTCGCCGAAATGTCGCGCAAATTTTGTTTCGGACCAAAATTGGCCGAAAAGCCAGGAATTTCGTCCAATTTCGCCGGCAGACGATTGCATCTCTTTTGCACAATACTATACAAGAAAAACCAAAATTTACGGTATTTAAAGTCGATCGAGTTTTCTAAGTTCATAACAAGAAAAGAAACATGAGGAAGAGGTGGCTACTTTTTGAGAAGTATTGATGATAACCTAAATTGTGTAAAATGGAGAGATAAAAAATTCAAAAGTTAAAAAACCTGGTTCATCTTGATAGTAAGTGATTTTACAGTCAGCAGTTTGAAGGACAACAAAACCTTCTCCCATATATCGAGGGGGTCTGTAATGAAAAAATAATCACATTATAACAATGCTTCGACGGTAAATTATGAAATATACAAGATACTGCACGTAACCTCATTGGTCGATTAGAGAGCGAAGTAAGTGGCATAACCACGGTTGTGACGTTTTAGATTTGTGTGTATTTTTTGAGAAACAATGGCGGAGCTCGCAGAGTGCAACCTTCCAAAATATGAACAAAAACAATGAACAAAAGAGTTTATATGAACACAATACACGTATCCCCGTGTTGATCAAATTATTTTATATCCTCGCGCATCTTGTGGGCAATTTTTAGTTCTATTGAAAGGAGGAGACAGAGAAAAAACCTACTCATCTATCGGTCCACTGTAAGATGGGCTTGGCGAAAGCATCACTCGGACGTTTTTCCCTTGACACTTAACAATATGCATAAACTCGTCTAGAGACGAGTGAGCCTACGAGAAATAAAACAAAAGAGAAGAATCGAAATAAAAATTACATTCGATACATGTCAAAACCCCCTTCTTAACCTTGCCGACTACTAGTTCAAGATTAACAACTTTTTTAATCTAAATGGGTAAAGTCTGCATGCGTGAAAATACACTATCAAGATCTTTAAATGCATTAACTTGTTGCAAACCTGGCATGTTGTGTAAATTCCTGTGGCACTCTCAAACTTGAAACACAAAGTGGTCTCTAGCAACCTATTTCCAAAGGCAACCCTTCCCTACGGTAGAAACATTTAGTTTTAATCGTGCTTCTCATAAATGCATACAGGTTAAATTCAAACTGCTCATCCAAACTCTTCTACTTTAGCTTATCCAGAAGCCTCCCCAAGATACAGGCCGGATAAATCTCCTGATCTCCAATCCGTGTTACCAAAATTCACAAAACGTAAAAAGTAACTTTGAATCCAAAAAGCCTACACCATCTAGCTCTTTTGCCTGTCTTGTGCTTCCTGGCTTATTTGTACATATTTAGTTTGTTACAAACAAATGAACACACTTTTTTTTCTTTTTTTTTTTGTACACAACACATGAGCACTGACACTTACACTATTGACATCAAACTTGACAGCTGGAACAAGCTCCAGAAGCCATGTGGGCAATCCACCATTAACATCTTCTTGTCTGAAAATGTTGATACAGGGATGTTTAGAGAAAAATGAGTACATTACTAAGACATTGCTAGATGACTGATTGCATTTCTCTTCACATAAAAAGAAAGACTTACTGTCAGTGTTTGGCTGAGTTTCAATACATGTAAACTACAAAGGTTCAGATATTGTTGGCCGCAGGGGAACTTATCAGTTTTCAGGGCATCCAGGTAGGGGGCATATTGGACTGGGGCCTTGATGAAGAGGGGCAAATAATATAGAGAGGGAGGGGGCTTATTATCATGCACTAATTGACTGAGTGGTGGGGAGATCAGATGGCAAAATATTTCCCTAAAGATCTTGACACCTTGATATCAGGAATTTGAGCCAATCACCTCTCCATCCAGCCCAACCAAACTCAGTCAAGACAACTAAGCCTTCAAAATTTTGAAATTACAGGTATGTTTGAATCACAATTAGATGCCATCACAATACCATAAGGTCTATGTATTTCTTTAGTTAAAAAACAAAAAAAATTCAAACTAAAATTAACAAAGGCTTTCAAATAAAAGCATATTCTGTACCTCAGCTGGCAAAAAAAAAATTAAAAATATCTACCAGTTCAGAGTTTTTGTTTAGAGCACAGGGAAGCTATTTAGAGATGGGGGAGGCTCGTTATAAAGAGAGTCTTCTCACGGTAGAAAGAAGAATTATCAGAATATTTACTGCTGTTTTAAATCAAAACAAACCCTAAGTCGTTCTCTGGTCCAAAGACTTACCCCTTTTTTACATCCACCTTTGGTTCAACAGTAGGGCTTACAGAAATGTTCAGGGCCGATTTAGCTGCATCTACAAATGGATGAAAAAAAGCAATTGACCACGCCTACCCTGCACACTGAAGGAAAAGGTAACTAAAAACCTTAAAAGTTGACAGTTGCAACCAAACATTTAGCATGTTGAAATTACATGTCAATGATACAGATGATAATGCTGGCATCTGCAATGACAAAGATCACCCTAGCAATAAAGACAATTACACACTTCATTGCTGATGGCAAAAATTATGACGTTATTGACAATGACACAAATAAGGACAATGACATTGAAGTGGATGGACAACAACTTAGATGGTTAAAAGTAAATGTAAATATTATTTGTGTATCTAAGTACAAACAGGAAAAAGTCTTCACTAAAGAATGTATACTGTAGTCCTTACCTCCATATCTTTCAACTCTAAAGAGTTCTTCCAGTCTGCTGTACAAACGAGACCTACAATGCCAAATTGATTTACTTGTGAGAATATTTGTTCAGTTAATTATGCTTTTGAGCCAGTGTTTGGAACAATTTGTAAATCTACCATTGAAATTCACCTTGGATATGTCCATGTCATCCCATATCAAAATATACACTGAACTGGCAAGTCTAGAATTGGCCAGAGGCTCATTTCTCAAAGGTCCCAGTAACATAATGGGCCAGTAAAGCTGCACTGTTTTCATTCAAGGTGGGTGTTTCAAAAGTTTTGAATATTATACTATAAAACTAGTAGCTGCAAGAAAAAATGGACTGGTCAGGATGCCAGAACCTGGTTCTCTATTCTTTAAATTCTGATCTTAAAGCACATATATGCTTTTGGGCCTGTAATGTTACTGAGACTTTTGAGAAATAAGCCCCTGGTCTTGTGGTGCAAGTGTTCTAGACCAATCACCTAGCAAAGGAAAGCAAAACCAAAGTAATCCCAAATTCCTTTTGACATTGATCAGAAAATTACTTTATTAGGAAACCCTCTAAGTTGCAATGAACTTGTATTATATCTAGGAGCATTAGCACTTCCCCTTGTCGGTTCTTGCCACAGAAATCAGGATAAGCCCCAAACACTTTTGCAAATCAATCTCGCACAGAGACTCACCTGTTATAAACATGATACTCCAGACCATTTAACCACACTGTGAGACGTTGCTTGGTGGCAACTTCTGTTGGCAAGACAATTATTTTTATAAGGTAAATATGATCCATGTTACTGATTGAAAAAGCAATGTACTACAACTGCAGGGTCCATTAATTGGACAAAAAAAAAAGGGTTTCTTTAGAAAAAGTTGTTCAAGAGAGTAAAATTTAAGAATGATTTTCTTTAGTTGGTTGGAAGGAACAAACCTAAGAAAACCAGTCATATAAGAAAGTTTCTCTGAGCCCCTCAATAATAAAATAATGCACAATCATATAAATCCCTGTGATGTGTTTACGTCTTCAATATTTACTCACCTATCTCTGATGGTTCATGCTGGTAAGGCGGCTTCTTTGACAGCTCCGGTTTGTATGTAATCCAATACTTAAAGATTGCTATGCCATCAATAACCCTATGATCAAAATCACCACTATGATTAGAAAATAGACTTTTTAAACTACTAGTGGCCCTTTATAAAATTATCTGAAATTTACTTGTCCTATAATATTTTTTACAGTAGTTTATCAAAGCTCTAAAGTGTTTTTATTCAAAGATTGAACCCCTCCTATCAAGCATTCTCATGTCTGCCCCTGGTCTGATGATGACTTTGCACAGGTTGTCTAAACATAATGGTCTCTTTCAACAACAACAGTCTTCCTCGTGAGGAATTGCACACCAACTATCAAACTACACAAAAAGCTGCTCAAAAGAGTCCAAACCATCCAATATGGAATTTTAAAACACTTTTTACTATCAAGCATTTAACAAAAACATGGCTATACTTCCTAAAAAAAACAAGTGTTTTACCAACCTAAAACTGAGATCTTTGGTTACATACACAACATCTCTGAACATGATCTTCCCAGACAATATTGAAAAGGAAAATGAGCCTGGTGATAAAAAACAAACGAAAGAAAATCTTAAACATTTCACAACAGACGTGATAAAAATGTTTCAGCAAACAGAGCCTTTTTGGAGATGAACCTGCCAACCTCTAAACTGAAAGGCCAAGGTTTATGGTTTGACTAAGGTTAACATGGTACATTCTCAGCGAGACACTTTTACTTTCAGAGTACAACTCTAACGAGTCAAAACATGGGTAGTAAAATGTTAAAAGGTTTTTTGATTCTGTAACTTAAACCAAACCACCCATCCAGGCCTCATCTTTCATTTCCATAGCATGGAAAACTACAATGCATAGCAGAGTCTTGATAGGCCCTACTAACTTTTGAATTTTTTCTACAACTTTCATTTATGTCCTCCTGGTGTCAGCAAAATAGTCACTAAGTTATTGCAACATTGTTTGGGGAGAAAGGGAGGAAATTCAAGTAGCTTATTGGAGTTAAATTACAAAATGTCTGTTTATTATGTCAAGTAAAGGGTTGTCAACCACCCACTAAGGGAAGAAGAGTCAACTACTTTTGCCATTCACTGTAGGAGTATTACCACTCCCTCCTGCAGGAGAAGCCTATCTATAATAGGTGACCCAAGAGTTTCAATAGGCTACCCTACCAGTTTGTTGGTACCCATTTAAACTCCTGAGTGATTATTTCTGGCCTTTACAGCCATTGTTGTCTTTCACCAGACCCCAGAGGTGAAAATTTGTTTTGCAAGGTACAGTGAAATTGTCAGACTTGATTACAGTATCTTAGCAGCATAAAAAGAAAATTTATTTAAGAAAACAACCATAAAAATAGCATGCATGTTGGTAAATTTGAAGAAATGACGTGATGTCCATTAACAAACTCACCAATTTTAAAGTACTGTCCATCCTTAATGTACTTGAAATTTATCAGCTTGGTAAGAATGAAACCCATTACACGCGAATGGTAGAATGTGATGTAGATTGACCACAGGCTAGCACAAAGACAAGACAAAACTACAAAGACCAATCCACTCTCGACATTCCTTGTTTTTGCTGTGGAATCACTCAAGGGTGCTGTGGATGGCAGTAATGTACTCATACTGAAGTTGTTACTGCTTGTCATGTTCACACTGTAGTTGTGGACAAGATATTTTGTACTCTATGCTGGATGAACGTTGTGCAGTGAACTAAGTCACTGTTGGAGAAGCCTGAAACAATCTCTTATGGTCCAGTTAGAGGAAGTTTGTCCTTTTTGCGACCAGCTTCATCTTTCTCTCGCCCTTGTCCTCAGGAAAAAGTGTACATCACCATCTGGGCCAAGTGCGTTGGTTATTCAGAAATTCTGGAGCATAAACAAAAAAAATTAGAGCATTACCCACGGGCGTTTGAAGCACAACAAAGTTAGGTTCAGCAGGAAGCACTTGATTTAAATTATAAACAAGACATGTAACATTACTAAATTTAGTGCAGCTTAAACATACTTTAAATTGAAACATTCGTTTTCTGCAATAGAAATCCATAAAATAGAACCTTCCACCCCTAGCAACATTCTGTTGAAAAACTGCAAGATATTTAGCACGTCCATCAACAGGAAATCATTTTAGGAAACAAAACATCTACATATACATTGATTTATTAAAATGCCTCGATCGATGGCATTAACAATACCCAATAACAAAAACACAAAACTCACATTTTTCTCGTCGTATCACCTCAGCAAAGTTTCCTATTGAATTTGACCAGTGGGATCGTGGGTCACAGCTTGCCTACATTTCGTGATTTTAAGTGAAATTTGAGAGACTCACTTGATACTTGCTTAGGTATTGGAAGCCATTTTGAAGGAAGGAGCGGCTAGATTCAATCTCTCGCGGTCACTTAAACAAAATAATCGGTCCCAGACTTCTGTCGCCCTTACGCTAATTATCCTAATTAATTGTTTCATCTCATCCATCTTTTACAAGAGCAAATTTCAGTAATGTTGATACACAAGGGATGAATAGGCCTTTCCAAGAGAAAACGAAATTATTAAAATTTTTACAGTTAGAAAATTATCTATTTGACTCAAGGACTGCATCGAGAATTTCCGAAAAAAAAATCAAGGGAAACAGCCTACTGGGGTAATTTGTTGCTACTCGACACTGTTTGAGGTTCCCATTTTCCATTTATCAATGACATCGTAATCGCGGTGTAGGCGTTTTTTTTTTTTTTTTTTTTACAAATTTTTGATTATTTTCTAATATCACGACGTATAAAAAAACCCTGCATGTCTCTCGAAAATTATTTTTCCTTTAACAGCTATTTGTCTACAGAGCGAGAAAAGATTCCGGATATCAATTAATATTTGCAGCTCAAAGATATCAAAAATAACTTTATCTCCTTTTATGTCACTCTCTGTCAAGAGAACGCAAAAAAATGAAAATTATCCGCCTTTATAAATTTCTGAAAGATTTCTTATCAATTATACAGGGTTGGCACAAAACATACATCATTATCACTTTGTCAAGCATTATGGCGCCTTTTGCGGGCTAAAATGGAGGTTTTGTAGGGCTAAATATATTTTAGCGCTAATGTGATTGTTCAGACTGTTTTGTTGTCATTTTTTTTTTTTTTTTTTAGTTTTTATTTTCTCGATGCCTCCCAAAGTTATAACAATAATAAAAGAGTTTATGATCTCGGACAAAAAATATGTTTTAGCCTTTCATTCTCAGAGTTGCACCCAAAACCTATGATGCCCGCGCACATAAACTCCGTCGGTCTGTTGCTTTATCACCGCTAAGCCCAACAGCTTAAATTTGCGCGATGTAAATTTCACTTGCCATTATGGTTATAACTATTGAGTAAATAATTAAGAGTAATAATTTTGGTAGAGGCAAATAGCCTTTTTGAAGAGAGCTTTTATCCTCTTCAAATAAAAACACTTCAGTCCTGATGCTTCAGTTTAAAATTACACGCGAAAGTGAGTATCACTTTTTCAATTTTTTTTTCACTTTGAGAGGCGAAGATCGAAGAGATACAACACTTTAGCTTTTAATTTTTCTTAAGGAAATAAAATGATGACCAGTGCCCAGTATATTTGATAATTACCGTTTTCATTGTTTACAAGACGGAAAAAAGGACGTTCCTGTCATAAATTAATGTTTCATTAGAGATGAGATATCAAGTAAAATGTAAACTCGACTCAAGCTTCTAAAATGTACCTTGGTGATGTATGATGTAAAAGAATTGTTTTAGAAGTGAATTTATCAACTTTTAGATTCCTAACGAAATAACAATTTACTTTTTTATTTCTTTGTCTAAAAAGGGGGAGTTTTCTGATTTTTTTTCTAAATTCTCGCATTTCTAATTAATCAAGATACATCAGCTTTTTGTGACAAAGGAAAAGAATCTCATTAATTAAGGCGAGGACAACGAGAGTCAACCTAAAAATATCCAAAGAGAGCAAAGACAAATGGTCGAGTTTCATCCTTTAAGTGTGATTATGAAGGATTATCAGTCTTTTGGCAATTCTTTTTGTTTTTGTTTTTTTTTCTTTTCTTTTAACTCACCCATCCTAAAATATCAAAATTTGATTAAAATTCGACACTGTTTGAGGTTCCCATTTTCCATTTATCGATGACATCGTAATTGTGGTGTAAGCGTTTTTTTTTGTTTTTTTTTTTACAAATTTTTTATTATTTTCTAATATCATATTTCAGTTTAAGCGTTTTTTTTTACAGATTTCTAATAATTTTTTAACACCACGACCTATAAAAAACCCTGCATCTCTCTTGGAAATTTTTTTTTCTTTCTTTTTTAATTTTTCTCTCAACTCACACATCCTAAAATATAAAAATTTGATTAAATGTTTCCTCAGTCGAAACGGTTGCCTCTCAGCGTAAGTAAAAACAATAGTAGACTTCTTTGTGGGCAAATATGTTGACAGTGTAATGTATACCTAATGACAATCTACAAGTGATAAAAAGGTATTGTTTTTCCAGCTTGAAATCGCCGGAACCAGACAGAAATTTTACTCCTCATAAATCAGTTCAAAGTCAAGTTTCTCAGACTTGCGGAAAAACGCCGGGCAACGCAGAAATCTAAGGAAAATGAACCATGAAATCAGTGACTTCACGTTAATCTTCGTCAGATACACGCTAGTGCTGTTATTACCGGTGAATATCATCGGAAATTCTTTTGTGGTTACTATGTTCTTGAAGATGAAAACTCTGACCCGTCAGTCCTCTGACTTACTGCTCTTCAACCTTGCAATAGCGGATCTACTGTTTGGAATTGTAGTTTTAACCTGCAGCTTGGTATTCCATTTCGTTGGTACAGAAATCAATGATTTCTACTGTAAGGCCACTGGTGGTGTGGTCTATTTAAGCTGTGGGGTGTCTGTATACACCCTGACAGTCATCGCAATGGAAAGATCTAGAGCCGTCTTAAAACCTGCACGAGCTAGGATAAGAAGGTCTAACATTACAAGAAATCGCAGAATCCTTCAGATCATTTGGTTTACAACACTTATTGTCATCAGCCCTATTTTCATATTTCTGAAGAAAATGGACGTCTCTGACGACATTGTCGATTGTGGTTTCGTTCAAGACGCGGTCATGGCTCGGTTTGGGAGAATCTATGACGCTATAGTGGTACTTGTTCTTTTTTTAGGTCCCAATTGCTTCATTTGTTGCCTGTATGGTAAGCTAATTTTTAAACTTTGGTATGACCGTCAAATGCACCAGAAACCGAGACTTGCCTTGATGCATTCCCGATGCAAACTGACCAAACTGTCCTTCGTAATTAGCGCAGTATTTACAATATGCTGGACTCCGTATTATTTCCGAACGCTGGTCACTCTCGTTTATGGACAACAGATGTTAGTTTTGAGTTTAGTGGTGTGTCGGGTTTTAGTTGTAGTCAATTCTTGCGCGAATCCCATCATATATACATTACAATGCCCTCGATTTAGAATTCATTTGAGACAATTGCTTGATTGTAGAAACAAGATATCACCGCATATCCCTTAGACAAATTCATTTTATGTTTTTTCATCCAATTCGAATTCGAGTTTTTCGAAACTTCAGCTTTACAAATTCTTTACGGTGGCTAATTCACATTATCAACTCAGTTGACAAGTCTAAATTATCTTGTAATACCGACAGCGACGCAGCAACATAATCTCTTTAGAGACTTACCCTCTTTGTTTCTTCCAAAAAGACTGATGAAGATGATATGTAGGTGTCATTTACTAACTATGTTAACTAAGCGGTTTGACCATATTACTCCTATCATGTTGACACTTTGCTGACCACCGTTAAACTATCGCATACATTATAAAATATTGCTTTTAGTACACAAGTGCCTTAATGGCTTGGCACCAACTTATTTATCTGAACATTTACACTACCATAATAGTCCACGTTTACTTCGTTCTGGTTCTCAAAATATTTTAGCTGTGCCTAGATCTAGGTTAAAGACGTATGGTGATAGAGCTTTTTCTGTAGTTGCTCCTAGGCTATGCAA